GCCTAATACCTAAGGGATGGGTTGATCTGTGCAGCAAACCACCATGGCACACATTTACCTATGCAACAAACCTGCACATCCTGCACATGTACTGAAATTAAGAGTTGAAGATTAAAAAAAGAATTCAGTCGAATAAAAAATAATAAAGTATGTGGGAGGATGTGTGTAGATTATATGCAAATACTACAGTATTTACATAAAGGACTTGAACGTCTGTGGATTTTGGTATCTGTGGGGGTCCTAGAATTCATTCCACATGGATACTAAGGGAGACTGCATATAGGTTTGAGGGCAGAAGAGAGGGAGGATAGAGCACCCTAAATGGGGAAAAACCTCTGGGGATACCAAAATTCAAGGAGTAATTGGGAAAAAAGAGAACAATTAAAGGTGAAATCTTGAAATGTCTTCTGCCTTGACTTCAGGAACGGTTCTCAAACAGGCTGATGGTCATGTAGCTACCATTTTTGTACTTCATACGCGGAGACTTCCAACCTGCCTTTCATGTGCCAGGATTCGATTTGATACCTCTGCCCCCAAGTCAGCATCGTGGTGCTGCCTGCCAGTCAACAGCTTTCTGCAGTAGTGCCATCTTTGCACTGCAGTACTTGGGCAGCTGTTTTAATACCTGGCCCCTGTTCTAAAAAAACAAGAGAAGACCCCCACATCAATATGTTGTTGCTAATGATGAGGAACTCGGGTCTCGAATGAATACAACTCAGGATGGAAGCCACTGGTGTTCAGAAAGCAGTACATGTTTTAGCCTCAATAACTGCTCATTGGACTTAGTTTGTGAGTTCACTTGTGAAAAGGAATAAGGAAAATGTGAGTATAGAACCAATATTGGAAATATTATTGAACACAGGGGTCTATTTATTTTTCCTTTTGATGCTGGAACTTTCCTCACATTTGACTTAAGTAGGTCTGACTTTCTCTGTCCACCCATCATCTGGTTGCGCCTCGGTCACCATCCTTCATTCCTTTTCCTTTTCAGCCTTCTCAGCTTAAATCACATTTCCTTGGGGCTCTGTCTTTTGACCGCTTATCTCTATACACGTAGATCTTGCAATTTCCATGATTCCAACTACAAGCTTATTGTAGAGGCCCCCTCTCTGGACCTCTGGCTCCGACCCCTCTCTTCAGTCTGACCTCCCCTTCGGCTGCCTGCCTGACGTCTTCCTTTGCTTGCCCAACCAAGAGTATGTCTTAGCAAAATTTCTGCAAAAATAGACTCTTCTGCCTCATATTCTTGTTTTACTAATGGCATCACCATTCTTTTAGCGTTTCTAGTTTCTTCTGCTGCACCTGAAATCAGCATATCATACACTGATGTAGCTGTGATGGGTTCTCTCAGTTTTCTTCCACTTTCCGTCTTTGCTGCCATCGCCTCAGGTTGGGCCTCACTACCTCTAATCGATGCTCCTCTATTAGTCTCCCCCTCTTCAATATCTCTCTACAGTTATCTGTGCAGGCAGTGGCAGCAGAGCGTACTTCTAACCTAGAGTTCCAAACTTTTGATCATGCTACTCCCAATAGCCCGCCAAGTTCAGGAGAGACTTGGGTTTCCTGACCCAGGCTAACCCACAGGATCCCTCCCCCACACCCCCGCCCAGATAAGAGGCCTTTCTTTACTGGGGTAGCTAGTACCCGCGATAATGTAAGTTCTGAGCTGCCCAAGAGTAAAAGTCAAGACAGAGGAAAGCAAAGTCTAGAAGCAAACAGAGAATTAGAACACTTTTGAGTGTCTGAAGCCAGCTATGTCTAAAGCTGCTGCAGCCCCTGGACTTCCTAGTTTCTTAACCTAGTTAACTCTGTTCTGCTGATTTAGGGCTGGGTTTCTCTCCCTTGCAGTGGATCAGATCCTAATTGGTAGAGCATTCAAACCTTCAGCTCGTCAAACCCTACTCTTAAGATGCTTCTCAATCATTATCTTCCCAGAAAGTGGTCTGTGTTTTGTCCACCCAGCAGATCATCTTAACAGTTGATTTAGAAGCTTTCTAGAATAGTGTTGGTTGCTGATCATACTGTGAAGATCTTAAGTTATCAAACTACAAAAGTAAGCATTATGAACCTCATCAGAAAGCAAAAGTGGCCGGGCGCGGTGGCTCAAGCCTGTAATCCCAGCACTTTGGGAGGCCGAGGCGGGTGGATCACGAGGTCGAGAGATCGAGACCATCCTGGTCAACATGGTGAAACCCCATCTCTACTCAAAATACAAAAAATTAGCTGGGCATGGTGGCGCGTGCCTGTAATCCCAGCTACTCAGGAGGCTGAGGCAGGAGAATTGCCTGAACCCAGGAGGTGGAGGTTGCGGTGAACCGAGATCGTGCCATTGCACTCCAGCCTGGGTAACAAGAGCGAAACTCCGTCTCAAAAAAAAAAGAAAGAAAAAAAGCAAAAGTGGAAGAAACTGTAAAACCTGTTGTGGGAGTGGTTTGATTTAAACGTAACAAATGAGGAAATCCACTTCTTTGGACCCAGGAAGTGTTCAAGCCTGCACCTCTCCATCCCGCCATCGAGGGATTATTTAGTGAGAATAACCCCCATGATTATGGGGGTCCCTGAGAAGTGGAGGGAGAGTTGCAGCATGTATTAGAAGAGGTACTTGGGCAGTGAGGTTTGCCGAGCAAGTGCTTTTGTTGTTGTTGTTTTTGTTGCTTTTTGGTGGTTTTCTTGTTTTTTAAAATTTATCAAAACAAAACAAAAAATGGGTCTTGCTACATTGCCCAGGCTGGTCTTGAACTTCTGGGCTCAAGTGATTCTCCTGTGTCAGTCTCCCAAAGTGCTGGGATTACAGGCATGAACCACTGCACCTGGCCAGGAGAGCAAGTTTTAAAACTGGTCAGGTGCTGTAGCTCATGTTTGTTGTAATCCCAGTATTCTGGGAGGCCAAGGCAAAAGGATCATTTGAGACCAGACTGGACAATGTAGTGAGACCTTGTCTCTACTAAAAATAAATGTCAAAAAATAAATAAATAAATAAATAAAAATAAATAAAAATAAATGTCAAAAAATTAACCTGGTGTGGTGGCACACACCTGTAATCCCAGCTACTCAAGAGGCTGAAGTGGGGGGATTGCTTGAGCCCAGGAGATGAGGCAGCAGTCAGCTATGATAGCGCCACTGCACTCCAACCTTGGTGACAGAGCACAAAACAAAAAAAAGTTTTAAAACTGAAGGTGCTTTCTTGTTGCTTTTCTCTTGGGTTATGGGGAAAGCCACATTCAGAGTGGAGTTTTAATTTTTTTCCTTTTCTGTTGTATTTCCCTTTAGTTACCCAGACTTCAGGAAAATCTGACACTTGGGTATTGCTTATACGTGGTGGCAGAAAGTGAAGAGAGAGGCCAGTACAGGACACATACTTGCCCCACATTCACTTCGTGTTCCCAGAGTAGAGTTGTAGGTTGATCTTAAAGGCAGCTTTGATGATTGACAGATGATCAGCTGCAGTTGTAGGAGAATTAAATCACGAATTTATGTATAAGAGGCCAGGTTAAATGTTGGGGCTGCATATGGGTGGGCTTCAGACTCAAAAATTAATAGAAGTGCCGGCCGGACATGGTGCTCATGCATGTAATCCCAGTAATTTGAAAGGCTGAGGCAGGTGGATCGTTTAAGATCAAGAGTTCAAGACCAGCCTGGCCAAATGGTGAAACCCTCGTCTCCACTAAAAAACACAGAAATTAGCCAGGCATGGTGGCATGAGTTTGTAATCCCAGCTACTCGGGAGGTTGATGCAGAAGAATCTCTTGAATCCAGGAGGTGGAGGTTTCAGTGAGATGAGATCTCGCCGCTGCACACCAGCCGGGGCAACAGAGGGAGACTCCATCTCAAAAAAAAAAAAAAAAAAAAAAAAAAAAAGTGATAGAAGTACTGTCATCGATCTTACCTAATGTGATCAGGAATAACATAGTATCCAAGCCACTCCTGCCACTTAGCAATTCAGAGCTATGCATTTAGATAAAATCTCTGTCTAGCCCTGTGAAATATGAGCAGAGGAGCAGAGGGAGGGGTGTGTGTGTGTGTGTGTGTGTGTGTGTGTGTGTGTGTGTGTGTGAGAGAGAGAGAGAGAGAAAGAGTGAAGGTCATTAGTAGTAGGTTTTGGTAATTATTGGTAAAAGGCTGCAGGGGAATCTGTGACTTTATTTTTTTTACCAGTGTCTCCAGAGCACAGGCATAACTTTCCAGATAGTCTTGAAAAATTAACTGTTACTCTGCAACAACAACAAAAAAGCATCCTTTCCCATACTCCCATGAGTTTCCTGGCAACAAGAATGGGATTCTATAAAGAAAGAACCCAGGGTTTTCTTGTTTAGCCGACCCTGTTCAGGAGGTGGTGTGTGATTCTCCCAGAAACACTTATCCAGCCACAGGACATTTCCCTGGACTCTGATTCATCCATGAGTCCTCAGAATATTTTGCTACCATCTTTCAAAACAATCCATGCTAAGTATTGATCATGATTAGGAGCGTGGCCACACGGACCCCCTCAGGTCACCCTGTCTCTCTCCTGATTGAAAATCTGCCTCAGCATTACTTGGTGGGGACTTTCCGGACTAACAGAAGCCGGAGGGAAAAGGCTGTGCTCCCGCCTCTGCTGCTGACTGGCTGTGCCTTCTGAGCCAGGTCCCTCGGTCTGAGTGTTTTTTCACCTGTGAGACAGGGATGATGATAGTGGTGGTGGCGACATTTGGGTTTTTTAATTTTTAAAATTGATTTTGAGACATAGTTTCCTCTCTGATCTCAGCTCACTGCCACCTCCGCCTCCCAGATTCAAGTGATTCTCATGCCTCAACCTCCCGAGTAGCTGGCATTACAAATGCGCGCCACTACACCTGGCTGATTTTTATATTTTTAGTACAATCGGGGTTTGGCCATGTTGGTCAGTCTGGTCTAGAGCCCCTAACCTCAGGTGATCCACCTGCCTCGGCCTCCCAAAGTGCTGGGATTACAGGCATGAGCCACCGCTCCTGGCCTGGTGGTGACATTTGTTATGTTCAGCCATGGAGGTCTCAGGGTTCTTGAACAGTAAGATGGATGTCACAGCCAAATGCCAACTTGAAATCTGGATGGAAATGTGAGTTCCTGTGGGTATTTCTTACGGTTGACAAATGGCTTGATTCCTTTTTTCCCCTTCTCTGCAGCATACTGCGTTTGAAATGAGTAAATGGGGCTCCGGGGCTGCTAGGTACGTTTGCTTACAGCAGCTGTCTGTGGATCTACTGCGTCTCTGCATGAGCAGGGTTCTCAGCCCACACTGCATGGCAGGGGGTGGAGACAGACTCTGGATCCGCTCCCCTCGGTCTCCCAGGCTGGCTTCCTTTCAGGCCCTAGCTGATCCTGGACCATATCTTATCCATCTTCTCCCCTCACACTTTCTCTTCACAGAAGGTGAACCGAGACAAGGATTCACCATCTCTCCTTATCTGCATCTGGCAGGCCAGGCCATGTGCCAGGTGCTCTGGGTACCAGCTGCCCATCGTTATGTAGAGGAGCTAGTTCCTGGAGGGAGTGGCTACTATAGGACAGAGCCTGGGACACGCCAAGTATTTGATACCAATTATTATTACTCTTTACTGGAGTACACAGGAGCGACCTGGTTTTGCAACTGTTTTCCTTTGATTCCTTCGACCTATCAAATGAAACAACTCCTCAGCTCAATACTCTGATTTCATTGTTCCTAAAATAATTTAGGGTTGTAGATCTTCCCAGGCAGGCTGTAAATGCTGTTTTGGTCTCTGGGAGCTCCAGGACCTGAATGAAAGCAGCCCAGCCCGTGAGAAGCTCTGCTGTGGAGGATCAGGCAGCATTCAACATTGGGCTTCCAGGGTGCCAAGGCCTCACAAAGCCTGGTCCCTGGGACAGGGCTCCCTCCAAGCCCGAGCCTCAGGGGAAGGCTCAGCGGTCACAGCCCACCAACGCTTCCTCTCAGCTGCCAACGCTGATCGGGGTGGGAAGTGCGGCTGCTTCCTGGAGAGGCTCAGCCCTGAGGTTACGGAAGACAGTGGGCAGACTGCGGAAAATCACCCAGAGATTGCTGCTGACAACTTCAGGTCTTCAGAGCATCACCCTTCTGTTTATAGCTGGAGAGAGGGGTGCCCAGCCAGGGAGAGCCAGGAACGGGTTCCGGCTTCCATCACTCAGGTACTCAGGAGCCCCTGGGTAGTCCACACTGACTCACACTGAGCTGAGCTGTCCATGGCACCGACCCGTTTGTCCACTGATGCTTCCTCCCTCCAGGAACACTGTCCAGATTGAACAAGAGAGGATCCCAGATGGTCACCACAGGCATCATTTTATATAAGTCCCCGTTGTGGCCCAGGGTCGGTCCCTGCACCGCACTATGACTTACCTATGACTTTATCTGCATTCACATAAGCACTAGGGGGACAGGAAGCTGTTACTCCGGTCCCCGGGGGCCTCTCTCCAGATGCCTACATTTTAAAGACTGTTCTGTTTGTCTACAGTGTAACTCTATTGACTTATTTTTGTGTCTATTTTATCTCGCAAATTCCATGGCCACCTCCTTTAAGGTAAAAACGGGACCCAGCACGGAGGCTCACACCTGTAATCCCACTACTTTGGGAGGCCGAGGTGGGTGGATCACAAGGTCAAGAGATCAAGACCATCCTGGCTAAAATGATGAAACCCCATCTCTACTAAAAATACAAAAATTCGCTGGGCGTGGTAGTACACGCCTGTAGTCTCAGCTACTCAGGACGCTGAGGCGGAAGAATCACTTGAACCCAGGAGGCAGAGGTTGCAGTGAGCCGAGATTGCCCCACTGCACTCCAGCCTGGTGACAGAGCAAGACTCCGTCTTAAAAAAAAAAAAGACAAGAACGGCGTCTTCTTTGCATCTTGCACCATCCTTGCACTTATTGCTTGGGAATATTTGAGTATCCCGTTCCATAATTAATCCACGTGTCTTTCCTTGAGCACCTGCAATATGAGCACCAGGTTCTTTTACAGGGAATACAAAAATGAGTAGACATGAATGGAGAATGGGGCAAAAGAGTGGAAAAGGAGTAGTAGCTTATTTCCTAAAGTTTGGTGTGAAATAGGAGAGAGACAGGGTGGAGAGGCTTGTAGAAGCGCATGGGGAGGGGAGCTTGTGGTTGAAGATGAGCGAGGGTGACCAGGGGGTAGATAATTGATGGAGCGAGGGGTGGAGGGTCCTGGAAGGAAGGAATGGGAACCTGAGCACAGGCAGATTGATTGTGGGAAGAAAGTCACTTTTTCATCAAGACTAATGGAAGGAGAGAGGGAAGTGAAGGTGGGGAGGGAAGGGAGCTGTAGAGAAATGTGGACACAAATGTGAAAGAAAAGGGCTCACCCTAATGTCCTCAGGTTTTCACTATTGAATGAAGGAGCGGATATGAGCCCCAACATTAAAGCGCCAGAGCTGACAAGGATCCATTGCTGGATGATTGGAGGTGGCATCTGTGACTCAGAAATGGCCATGTGGCTTGACTGGGGGAGGTCAAGGGAAAAGGAGGGGGAAGGAGAGCAAAGCTGGGGAAACAGGAATTCTCTCTAGGGCCATCTTGTCTTCCCTCTCCCATCCATACCCCATGTATCGGGATCCTGAGGCCCATCTGTCCTTCCCCAAGTTCTGAAGTTCTCTCTCCTTCCCTCATGGTGTGCTTTGCTGGCTAAGTAACCAATTGCTGTTCTGGTTCAGTAGCTGCTCCTGGCTTTGTGTGCTTTCCTCTCTCGGGTATCAGTGTGATTTTCTTAGAAGATGGAAGAGGTCCAGTTAGCTTTTGGTTCAGATAGTCTGTGTACTTTGTTATTGCAGCCCTAACAAACTAAGACGATAACCTTACAGCTGTATTTTAAAGGTATGAGATATTAGCAGGTTGTGGTGGCACATGCCTGTAATCCCAGCTACTCAGGAGGCTGAGGCACGAGAATCACTTGGACCTGGGAGGCAAAGGTTGCAGTGAGCCAGGATTGTGCCACTGAGCTCCAGCCTGGGCAACAGAGACTCTGTCTCAAATAAATAAAATTAAAAATTAAAAGTATGAGATATATTTCATCAGCATTTTAAGGATTGTTTGATATGTCAAAAACTGCATTATAGAGTAGTTTAGACTCTATAACCTTCTCACAAATATATTCAAGAAGAAGGTATTTACTTCACAAAAGACTTAACATTAAACATTTGTTCAAATTCATCTACTCTTTTCATGAAAAATATTTTCTAAAACAAGGTTTTGTTAACTATGGCAGAGTAGTCATGAATTTCCAGCAAACCTGGCTGCTTTCCTGTTGGCACATGGGATGAACTTATCCTCTGTAAAGGGACTGGTGTTTTGGGGCATGTGACATTGTCTTAACCCGGGCACCTATAACACATATACTCCAGACTGGGTTGCTTAGACCAGGGGTCCCCAACCCTTGGGCCATGGACTGCTACTGGTCCATGGCCTGTTGGGACCTGCGCTGTGGCACCTCAGTGAGCCCCGCCTCCTGTCAGATCAGCAGCCATGTCACAGTCTCATAGGAGCGCAAACCCTATTGTGAACTGTGCATGTGAAGGATCTAGGTTGCCTTGCTTATGAGCCTTTAATGCCACCACCAGTCTGTGAAAAGATTGTCTTCCACAAAACTGGTCCCTAGTGCCAAAAAGGTTGGAAATCGCTGACTTAGACAACAGAAATTTCGTTGTTAACTTTTTCACAGTTCGTGAGGCTGGCAAGTCCCAGATGAAGGTGCCTGCAAATCTGGTGTCTAGTGTGGGCGCTACTCCTGGTTTACAGCAGGGTGTCTTATTGCTGTGTCCTCACTTGGCAGAGAGAGAAGAGAGAGCAAGTTCCTGTGCCTTTTTTTTTTTTTTTTTTTTTTTTTTGAGACAGAGTCTGGCTCTGTCACCCAGGCTGGAGTGCAGTGGTGCGATCTCGGCTCACGACAACCTCCAACTCCTGGGTTCAAGCAATTCTGAGTAGCTAGGACTAATAGGCATGCACCACCATGCCCAGCTTTTTTTTTTTTTTTTTTTTTGTATTTTAAGTAGAGATGAGGTTTCACCATGTTAGCCAGGATGGTCTTGATAGCCTGACCTCGTGATCTGCCCACCTCGGCCTCCCAAAGTGTTGGGATTACAGGCGTGAGCCACTGCGCCCAGCCTCCTGTGTCTTTTTGTAAGGGAACTAATACATTGATGAGCACCTCCCAAAGGCCCTGCCTCCTAATACTATCACACTGGAGGTTAGGATTTTAACGTAGGAATTCTGGGGAGGCCACAAACATTCAGTGCATACCAAGTGCCTATAATAGAAATTTCTATCTCACTCTTTGAGTGCACACCACACAGTGTGCTAGACATCACTCCCAAATGTCATCCCCTGAATTCTCACAACAGGCCTAGGAGATGGGCAGGTATCCCATGGCACATACAAGAATATCAGAACTTAAAGTGGTTAAATAATGGTCTGCAGTTACAGAGCTAATCACTAGGAAGAATGCTCCCTAATTCTGACAGACCAGGTGTAGACCTCAGCTCTGCTGCATCCTGGCAGTGTGACCTCAGCAGGCAGCTTAACTTCTCTCTACCTCAGTTTCTTCATTTGTAAAGTGGAGACATGGTACTATGTACCTCATGGGGTTGTTGGACAGATTAAAATGAGATAATGTATCTTCTTGGCACAAAGCCTGGCAAATATAAAGTCCTCTAATGTTAGCTATTACTATTGCTTTAAGAAATATGGTAAGAGCTGGGCATGGTGGCACATGCCTGTAATAACAGCACTTTGGGAGGCCAAGGCGGGCAGATCGCAAGGTCAGGAGTTCTAGAACAGCCTGACCAACATGGTGAAACCCCATCTCTACTAAAAATACAAAAAAATTAGCCAGGCGTGGTGGTGCACACCTGTAATCCCAGTTACTTGGGAGGCTGAAGCAAGAGAATCGCTTGAACCCGGGAGGTGGAGGTTGCAGTGAGCTAAGATTGTGCCACTGTGATCCAGCCTGGGAGACAGACCCAGGCTGGGTCTATGTTAACTATGGCAGAGTAGTCATGAATTTCCAGCAAACCTGGCTGCTTTCCTGTTGGCACATGGGATGAAATTATCCTCTGTAAAGGGACTGGTATTTTGGGACATGGGACATTGAAAAAAAAATAAAAAGAAGTATGGTAAGTAAAAATACGATCAGAAATTCTATAGCAGTGTTTACGAAGAGCTTTCTGTTTTGTCAGATGAGGAAACAGGCTGAAAGAAGTTGAGTGACTCAATTGGGCCCCCCCAGCCAGTAAGCAGTGGGAAGGGGACTCAATCCAGCTTTCTGGCTTCCAGCAGGACAGAGCTGCAGACTTCCAACAGGTACTCCACTAGTCAATGTCCTTGAAATAGTGAAAGCTCCTGTCTCAGCCTAAAAGTCATGTCTGTGTGTGAGTTTACTGTGGAGGAGGAAAATGGCTAAAGACTTTTTTTATGTTTTTTTTTTTAAAGATGGGGTTTCACCCTGCTGGTCAGGCTGGTCTTGAACTCCCAACCTCAGGTGATCCACCTGTCTTGGCCTCCAAAGTGCTTGAATTACAGGGACGAGCCACCACGCCCGGCCGGCTCAAAGACTCTTATCCTGTTGTGTAAAGTTCCTCTTGCTTTACAACTCTGCTAGTCAGGGTTCCCCAAAGAAACAGAAACAATAGAATGTGCAGAGAGAGAGAGAAGTTGATTGTAAGGAGTTGGCTCATGTGATGGAGGCTGGTAAGTCCAAAATTTTACAGGGTGGTCCAGCAGCTGAAGACCCAGTGAAGAGCGAGTGTTGCAGCTGAGGTCTGAAGGCTGTTTGCCAGAAGATCCCTTCTTGCTCAGGAGCGGTCAGCCGTCTGTTCTATTCAGGCCTTCAGATGATTGGCGAGGCTTAGCAGACGTTATGGAGGGTCCTCTGCTTTACTCAAAGTCAACCAATTTAAATGCTAATGTCATCTAAAAACACCCTCACCAGGAAACACCCGCAATAATGTTTGACCAAATATCTGGGCACTCTGGCCCAGCCAAATGGACATGAAAAATTAACCGTCACAACCTCTTTGCCTAGCTCCATCAAGAATTTGCTGAGAGCTATTATGCAACGTACTGGCCTTAACTCCCACTCCCCAAATGCCCTGGAAAGATGAAAAAGTGCTGTAGGATAAGGTTGAGTCTTTGAACCCAAACCTCCCGTCCTTGTTTTTTTTTTGAGATGGAGTCTCTGTCGCCCAGGCTGGAGTGCAGTGGCGTCATCTCAGCTCACTGCAACCTCCACCTCCCGAGTTCAAAGGGTTGTCCTCCTTCAGCCTCCCGAGTAGCTGGGACTACAGGCGCCCGCCACCACACCTGGCTAATCTTTTGTGTTTTTAGTAGAGACAGGGTTTCACCGTGTTAGCCAGGATGGTCTCCATCTCCTGACCTCGTGAGCCACCCACCTCATCCTCCCAAACTGCTGGGATTACAGGCATAAGGCACCGTTCCTGGCCCCTTTTTCTTTCAGAAGAAGAATCCTGTTAATGAAGCAGTTTACTTCCTTTCATTTTCAGTCCATCCACTTGTGGTAGCAGGCTGGTAGGATTGCAGGTGAACCTTTATTTTTTTCTTTCCTCATTTCTTTTGACATGGTGGTAATGTTTTACTTTTGTCTTAACTACCAGCTTGCCTGCAACGAAGGGAACCAGGGCGGGAAAGTGTGTTCCTAATCTTCTCTTTAATTATGGCACTTGTTTAAGATTAGCTAAGCCTGGCTCATTTTTAAGTCAATTTTATTGAGGTAGAACTGCCGATTGCAAAAGTAGGTTTTAAAAATATTCCACATCTGTTTAGAAATGGTAGAAAACTAAAAGCTCAGGAGGCTGAGGCAGGAGAATCGCTTGAACCCGGGAGGTGGAGGTTGTGGTGAGCCGGGATTGTGCCATTGCACTCCAGCCTGGGTAACAAAAGCGAAACTCTGTCTAAAAACAAAAAAACCTAAAAGCTAAATTCTGTGTAAACTGAAATAGCACCATCTTGAATGTCAGGGAAAGGACATACTTAGGAAACTGGTCTTCATGGTAGTGTGCCTAAAGTGCAGGGCAAAATTTAGCCTTTTTTTTTTTTTGAGACGGAGTTTCGCTCTTGTGACCCAGGCTGGAGTGCAATGGCGCGATCTCGGCTCACCGCAACCTCCGCCTCCTGGGTTCAGGCAATTCTCCTGCCTCAGGCTCCTGAGTAGCTGGGACTACAGGCACGTGCCACCATGCCCAGCTAGTTTTTTGTATTTTTAGTAGAGACGGGGTTTCACCATGTTGACCAGAATGGTCTCGATCTCCTGACCTCGTGATCCACCTGCCTCAGCCTCCCAAAGTGCTGGGATTACAGGCGTGAGCCACCGCGCTCGGCCCTTTTTTTTTTTTAAGGCTCGTCAAGTGAAGCCGGGGGAGTTGAGAGGGAATTAAGACGTCTGTACCTGGTTGTGATTAGTTAGTTGTAAACACCACTGCAGTCGGACCAGCCAAAAATCAGCCTCTCAAAAGTGTTAAAACGATAAAACCAAAAGCATGAGGCAACAGCTTTGTGAAAGTGTTAAAATTACCACCAGTCATTTAAATTTAAATAATTTAATTTAATTATTAAGTAAACTTGCCAAGGTCCGTGGGCAGAAATTCTCACCCAGTAACCATTGCAAATAATAATCCTACTGGAATACTCAGCTGGCCAGATATCTGAAGTGTGGCACCGGGAAGGACTCTAATGAATAAACTAACCACCTTCTATTTATATGGCACTCTGTTTTGAAAGGTCTTTCAGTGATACTCGCTTTGTTTATTTGATCCTTACAAACACTGATGCCATAGGACAGCCAGATATCTTTCTCGCCATTAAGACTGAGAGAGGTTCAAGGTCATATCGCTGCCAAGTGCAGGGAACAGAACAGAAGGAGCTCATCTTTCCTCTGCATTGTAATCAGCCCCAAGGTCTTTGTTGGATGCTTGAGACTCACCTCCAGGGCCCAGGGGTGGGTGGAGGAGAATGATGGACAGATCATTACAGAAGAAAATTATGGCCATTCTTGCAATTGGCCCATCTCAAAGAAAAAGAGAGTTCAATCAAAGTGGTATTGCCATTTTGAGTTAGAGATTTCAGGTCATAGAAATGTGCAGGCCTGCGTATTTACTGCCCAGAACTAGTAAAGACAGAAGGAAAAAAAGAGAGGGGATGAGCACTTTAACAGGATTTAAATATTACTGCCTTTTTCACAAACAGCGACAAAAACATCTCCCAAACCTTGAGGAATGGCAGTGGGGGGTGGGGCGAAGAGTGTTGCTGGGGCTAGCTCCCTCCCTGAGAGGAGAGAGTCACGCCTCCAGAGCTGTGAACGATGAATCACATCTTTTACATCAGGACTTTGTTGAGATTTCCTCGGAAACTTCACTGAGTATACAATAGAGATGACTGTTCTTTTGGGGAGATTAGCATTTTCTGGAGGGATTAGTAGACATCCATTTGGGGTTATACTGCCAATTAAAATGAAAATTAAATGAGTGTAATATGGCTTTTGTGGGCTGTGTTCACCTTTCCAGGAGGTCAGCATGGCCAGCCTGTGTGAAAGAGAAAATGTCAGACTTGGTTGCAGAAGCGCAAAGGGTGGTATCTTCGGTCTCACCTTCCTTGACAGGAGGGGCTCTTTTCAAAATCGGGACGACACCTCTCAGTTTACGAGGCACTCCCCTGTGTATCACATTTAAGCTCTACCAAGCAGAAGCATGGTTCCTGCTTTCTAGAGGCGAGAGCTTAAGGCCACAGCTAAAGGCGAATACTGGGCCTGCAGCTCCAAGCCCGTGTCCTCTCCACCCCATCACAAGGCCGACCCACTCAGGCTCTAGATGGGGGGCAGAGTGGCTGATGCAATTACTTATTGGCTCCTTGTCACCAACCATATTGTTTTGCCCAGACACGAGTGAGTCCTGGCCAAACTAAGACAACTGGTCACCCTACTTCCATGTTTTCATTAGTACTCGCCAGAGAGTCTCAAAGAACCACACTGAATGCTGGCATTTTAGGACACACTATACGTGCATGGGATATGCATAGTTTCATTCCACCCAAACAGCATTTGCGAGCATTTTAAAATGTGCAATTAGTCTCCTAAGGTTGCTATTTTGATTTCTTTTTCCTCTTCACTTCGTTATAGTTCCTCGTTATTGTCTCAGATCACCAAAGGGTGGACGGACGGGGAGGAGGAGGGAAGCAAGGAAAAATAAGGAAAGAAAGACACAGGATCCCATCTTTTCACAGCGCGGTCTTGGCTGCGGTGTGTCGAGGACCGGTCTCTAGCAGTCATTCCCAAACCTGAACATCCAGGCGGCCAGCCTCTAAGACGGTGGGCGGATTCCCGACTCTTGCCATTCATGCCGTTGGGCAATTCTCTTCCCTCCTCCCTTGAGTAGATTTGTCTTTAGGGCTCACTTTGTGTTTGTGGTTCACCCACAGTTCTCACTTCTCTCTCTTTCTCTTTCCCTCTCTTTCCTTCCCTTTCTCCCTCCCTACCATTGCTAACCCTGGGAAAGGCCTGGGGCTGCTCACAGATGCCATGCTGTGAGCAGCCCCACAGACAGGTCCCTGTGGTGAGGAACTGGTGTTTCCAGCCACGGGCCAGCGAGGACCCCAGGCCTGCTGAGGGCCAGATAGGTGAGCTTGGAAGCAGACTCCCTAGCACCAGTGAAGGCCTGAGAAGACAGACAGCTTGCTTGTAGTGCCACGAAAGACCACCAGCCAGAATCATAAGGTCAAGTCAGTCTCAGAGTCCTCACCCATATAAACTATGAGATGATAAATATTGGTGGTTTTCAGCCTTTATTTATAGGGTAATTTGTTCAGAAGCAATAGACAACTAATATAAATGTATATCAGAACCACTTAGATAACAACTTGATAAAATGTGTATTCTGGGCAGCACCCCCAGAGATGTTATTCAACAGATGCAGCCTGAGACCTTTGCCTTTTCACCAGGAATCCCAGGGGAATCTGAAATGAACACATTTCTGCTTGAGAGCACATGGAATAAACCCTCGTCTGGGAAGGCCTGGCCAGAGCGGAGACTGTAAAGAAGGGAGAATTGCCAGATAAAAACAAGATGCCCAGGCCGGGCACTGTGTCTCACGCCTGTAATCCCCTCTCTTAGGGAGGCAGAGGCTGGAGGATAGCTTGAACCCAGGAGTTCGAGACCTGCCTGGGCAATATAGCGAGACCCCGCTCTCCACAAAAAGGAAAAAAAACAAAAAGACAAGATGCCCAGTTCTATTTAAATTTCAGATAAATAACAAATAACGTTGTAGTCTTAAGTATACCTCATGCAGTATGTGGGACATATTTACACAGACACAGTATTTGTTGAGTATCTGAAATTCAAATGTAATGAAGTGTTCTGTATTTCTGCTTGCTAAATACCACCCAGAGGCCCCATGGGAAGTGAAGCCCCAGTGGGAAGTAAAGTGCTGCCTCCCTTGGCTGGATGGCAGAATTTTTCTCCTTAAGGACACAGAGGCCTAGGCTCTTCCTTCCTGTGGGGTGGTGGGGGTGGCCTCCAGTGGCCTCGAAGTCTTGGTGTTCTTCTCCCTGAGGAGCTGCGGGTTGCCCAGGACGGGTCCTGCACCCCCCCACCCCACACTTCAAGGACTCCCTCTAGGCGGAGCCACTCCTGGATGTTCTGGTGGGAGGGTTTTGGGGAATCCTCCACACAGCCCATCTCATCTCCAAGAGGCTGGAGGCCCCACAGGTGGACACAGTGTTGGGCAGCCCCTTGGTGGCGGTGGCCAGTGTGCGGGCTAGGAGACTGGTCCAGTCGGTGGACCTCATGCCTGCTGGGCACCACCCACGGCACTGGGAACTTCCTTGCTGCTTTTGGTGCTGTTGGCACAGCCTTTCCAGAGCAGCAGGATGAATGCCAGTCTCCTCCCACGACCCTCCAGGAACGCAGACCAACACAGCTGCTCTATTAAATACATGCACTTCTTATTCTGAGTATGTCTGAGTCTCTGATGAGCTCTATTTATTGCAACCCTCAGCCCTGTAAAGAGGAGGATGGTCCCAAAGAGCCCTGAATGCAGGCGGTTTCACAAACGCAGGCTCTCACTTCTTTTGTATGCACTTTCTTGTCACAGGCCCAGCCTTAATTTTGATGTTTACTTTGAACTGTGAAATAAGAGGATGAATGAGAGTAGAAGTGTATGTCTGTGTGTGTATGAGAAAGAGAGAGATTGGCTGGATGGACTGAAATGCTTAAGGCAGGGAAGGAAGATGAAGACTCAGAAATGGCTTCTGAAATGAAGACTCTGTGGCTGTGGCAGAATCAGAAACTTGAATACGCGCTTTGAAACCAGACCTGAAAGTGAGATCACACCACTCTGCTGTGGTTCAGCCTTGCTCAGCGGCCTGATGCAGGCCGGAAACGCACGGGAGGGGAACTCCGCTCAGTCTCTCTCCCGAGAGAAACTCTGGAGGGATCTGATCTTTTGAGAGCAAGGAGGAGGTCTGGAATCAAGTGTACAGAAGCTTTGTTTGTCCGGGAGGCTCTAAAGGGCTCTAAGAGAACTCTCTGGGTGCTGCTTTATATGAATAGAACCAGCATGGTTAAAACAAAACATATTCAAAAAGTAGAATCCGAGGATGATGGTGCCACTGCACATCTTGGATGTCAGGAGGAATCCCACATTCCCAGACCCTCACCCTAGTATAGCTGACTTGGAAGGCTGGAGAGGACCACGAAGCCATATTCACAGGATGTTATAGAGCCAGAAGGCACTTTAATAATCTAGGCTAGGGTCCAGTGCAGTGGCTCATGCCTGTGCTCCGAGCACTTTGGGGAGTGGCTCATGCCTGTAATCCCGGAGTTTGAGACCAGCTTGGGCAACATAGCGAGACTCTGTCTCTACAAAAAGTAAAAAATTAGCGGGGGCATGGTGGTGCATGCCTGTAGCTGTGGTACTCAGGAAGCTGAGGCAGGAGGATCGCTGGCACTCAGGAGATCAAGGCTGCAGTGAGCACTCCAGCCTGGGCGACAGATTGAGATCCTTTCTCCAAACAACAAACAAAAAATTCAGGCCAGGTTCCTGTTTGACAAAGAAGCAAGGCTCTCACTTTGGCCTTCAGTTTGACTTTTCTGGGCATCTGAAAAATTAGTAGCAACCTCACAGATTTATTGTAAAGATTTAGTGCAATGACATATATAAAGCCCTTAGCACTTTGCACTAAGTGGGAGCTGTTATTATTTCCCTGGTTCTGTGTGCTTGAGTGTGTGGTGGCAAGGTTGGGGTGGGCGGGGGAATCTGTTTCAGCACAGTACAAAAAAAGAGCCCTGCTTCCCGAGCAGAGTTCATATATATTTAGAGTCTTTTTAATTGGAAAGGACAAAATAGGACATTTAATTCAATCCCTTTGTTTTAGAGCTGATGAAACGGAGCTCCAGACAAGTGAGGGCTTGCTTGGGATCTCACAACTGCCTCCTGTTCAGGAATCCTGTATCATGCCTACACAGTAGGGAAACTGCTGTGCTTTTAGCCTAGAAACTCCGCTGCGATGATGTCTCATTTATGCAGCAGCAGATGGGAGTTCCCCCACACCAGATGAAGTACTTGGTTGCATCTTCTCAGATACCACCAGCGCCATCATGGCAGGCCCCTGAACTTTTTGTAAATGAATGAAAGTGCTACATAGAATTACATACAAAGGCAAGTCTGGATTTGAAATTAATGACCGTGGGATTCAGAAATGATTTGGAGATAAAATGAATAGTTCAAGAAAATTTGCATCTCGGTAGACAATGTTGCTTAGGAAGAACTTCTCTATAGAATTTCAGAGACAAAGATCAGGTCTGTTATTTTAATTCATAGCCTCGGGGTTTGGAGAGAGAAGAAGGAGTGAGAGCTCTGAAGCACTTTTTTTTTTTTTTTTTTTTTTTTTGAGACAAGAGTCTTGCTCCGTCGCCCAGGCTGGAGTAGTGTCACACGGATCTCAGCTCACTGCAGTCTCCGCCTTCCAGGTTCAAGCAATTCTCCTGCCTCAGCCACCCTAGTAGCTGGGACTACAGCTGTGTGAGCCACAGCTGTGCAGAAATAGGACTTTTTTCTGAAACAGATTAGCTTTTAAATATATAGCAATGTCTAGCATTGGTTAAGCGCTTGGTATATATTTAACTTATTAAATATATACCTATTAAACAGGCGTTTAATCTTCACAACAACTTAGGGTGATAGGTGCTAGAATTATCCCCATTTACAGATGAGAAAACTAAGACAAGGCCAGGCGCGGTGGCTCATGCCTGTAATCCCAGCACTTTGGGAGGCCGAGGTGGGTGGATCACGAGGTCAGGAGATCAAGACCATCCTGTCTCTACTAAAAGTACAAAAATTAGCCGAGCGTGGTGGCACACATCTGTAGTCCCAGCTACTTGGGAGGCTGAGGCAAGAAAATCATTTGAGCCCAGAAGGTGGAGGCTGCAGTGAGCTGAGATCGCACCACTGCACTCCAGCCTGGGTGACAGAACGAGACTGTTTCAAAAAAAAAAAGAAAAGAAAAAGAAAAAAAGAAAACTGAGACACATAGAGTAGCTTATTCATGGTCAAATCGCTAGTAAATGGCAACATCAGGACCAAAGCTCTGATTCTGGCTTCAGAGCTGTTCTCTACCATGTTGAGAGAGTCCAGATACCAAACCTGTGAGACTAAGAACTTTAAACATTCCCCGTGCGTGTGTGCATTTCATCACATTACTATCCCAAGGTTAGGTGCATGGGGCTGAACCCTCGTGGTGCCTATAACACCGTAGTCTACCCTACCATACTGGTGGTCTGAAAATTCTGCAGAAACGTGGTGCGATCTTTTATTTTCTAATCTCCAGTGCGCAGCCCTTACTTTATGCTGCTGGAAGAAAAGCAGGAACTAACTCTGCTCTTTAGTCCATAAATGGGATAAGGAGCCAGCACCAGGCTTAGTATTAATCCCCTTTTTTTTTTTTTTTTCTGAGGCAGAGTCTTGCTCTTCTTTGGCCCAGAGCTAGAGTGCAATGGAGTGATCTCGGCTCACTGGAACCTCCGCTTCCCGGGTTCAAGCAATTCTCCTGCCTCAGCCTCCCAAGTAGCTGGGATTACAGGTACCCACCACCATGGCTGGCTAATTTTTTTGGTATTTTTACTAGAGATGGGGTTTTGCCATGTTGGCCAGGCTGGCCTCAAACTCCTGACCTCAGGGGATCTGCCCTCCTTGGCCACCCAAAGTACTGGGATTATAGGCGTGAGCCACTGCACCTGGCCTGGGTGTATGAGAATTTTTCATATATTAAAGAATATTTCAGGCTGGCCTGGATGTATAACAATTTATCATCTATTAAGAAATATTTCAGACCAGGTACAGTGGCTCATGCCTGTAATCCCAGCACTCTGGGAGGCCAAGGCAGGCAGATCACCTGAGGTTAGGAGTTCAAGGCCAGCCTGGCCAACATGGTGAAATCCTGTCTATACTAAAAATACAAAAATTAGCTGGGCATGCTGGCAGGCACCTGTAATCCCAACTATTCAGAAGGCTGTGGCAGGAGAATTGCTTGAACACGGGCTGTGGAGGTTGCAGTTAGCAGAAAGTGCACCACTGCCCTCCAACCTGGGCGATAAAGGAAGACTCCATCTCAAAAGAAAAAAAAAGTATTTCAATTGTGTCTGATCATATGGATAATGCTGAAATAAATATTTACACACACTTGTGTTTTTGTCTTGGACTGGTTTTGTTATTTATTTAAAAAAAAAAAAAACCCAGAATTGGAATTGTTAGGTCAAAGAATATTTGTATTCCAAATTTTAATTGATATTTGCACATGACACAAAGTGTTTGTACCAATTTGCTCTCAGTGAGGAGGAATTTTCAATGCTGAGTCTAACCATCCTTGTTATCTCACTAGATTTTTATGTAACTAACCTATGGCTTTGATGAATGGTATGACAAGTATATCAGATGACAAATATATTAAACAAATGGACACATTTGTCAAAATGTTTTGAATTGCTTAATGGGAAAGAGTGTGAGAGCCTAACGGATCTCTGGCAATGACACGCTAGTGGCAGAGAAGAATCAGGTGTGGTTTTCACGTCTGGTAACTTGCAAATGGTCACTTGTGCAAGATATTTACCATATTTCACTGGGACCTCCTAACACTATACTCTTTTGATCTAAACCCAGGTTGGTAAAGGAAATGTGTATGATACGAACTTGTACCCTTCCCTGTATGCTACATCAGAGAAGCATAGAACTCAACTCTATAAAAATCCACCTTCTGGCCATACGTGGGGGCTCAGGCTTGTAATCCCAGCACTTTGGGAGGCTGAGGAGGGTGGATCATTCATGAGGTCAGGAGTTCAAGACCAGTCTGGCCAACATAGTGAAACCTGTCTCTACTAAAAATACAAAAAATTAGCCAGGCATGGTGGTGGATGTCTGTAATCCCAGCTACTCAGGAGGCTGAGACAGGAGAATTGCTTGAACCTGGGAGGCAGAGGTTGCAGTGAGCTGAGATGGTGCCACTGCACTCCAGCCTAGCGACAAAGTGAGACTCTGTCAAAAAAAAAAGAAATCCATCTTCGCCTCTGAAATGTACATTTCAAGGTGTGCATTCCTGAATCAGGTAAATCTAAAGTTACTTGACTTTCTTCATTGAAGCCACCTGAGAATGGCTTTTAAAGATTCCCACCTCAGCTGGAGGGTCTAGTGTGTAGATCATTAACACCTGAGACTTACGGGCCCCACCTGAAGTTGTGCAGTGGTAGAGAAACACAACTGGCTGCAAACGTATCAGCCTGAGCTTTTAGATTAGAGTTGTTTGCCATTATAAGGTTTGTGGATTAGCTATCAACTCTCATGTGAGTTCTGTCCTCATCCATCATTACCAAGGATGGTTAAAAAGTCAACTATATTACAAACCTAGTCTGTATCTGGTATGACTTTACTGCTCCCCCTCCTAACAAGGCACAGGCAAGTAAGTGATGCTTAG